TTCTTTGACTGGATTCAAAAGCCAAGAAAAGTAGAGTTGTGTTTCTTTGGTTCTGGATTCGAAGGAAAAGAAACAAGTGTTGTGTTTCTTTAGTTCTGTATTCAAAAGAACAGAAACAAGGGTGTGGGTCTTTGATTCTGGGTTTGAGAGTGTGTTAAGTGTTTGATGATTTTTGCCTTGCTAACAAATCTCTCTCCAACCACCAAAAGGCCACCCTTAGATGTGTTGTGGAACCTCTTATTTATAGATGAAGTTTGGATGAGGTTTAGGGGGAAAACAAAAGAAATTTGAACAAATTGGGTATGATGTCTTCATAGCCTTCGAGGTGCAGCTCTTTGTATACCAATTTGGTGCAAATATGGGAGCAGCATAGCAGGAATGCTTTGCATCAGTTTTGGAGTGTTGTGGCAGCTTGGTGTAGGACTGTTTCATAGCAGACTATTTTTTGACCAGACTCATCAAAAGACTAAACACCAATTGTGTGTCCTTCGAATGGACCAATTATGTGTCCTTCGAAGGGGTCAAATGTATGTCCTTAGAATAGACCAAGTGTGTGGCTTTTGAAGGGGCCAAATATATGTCCTTCGAATGGACCATATGTGTGTCCTTCGAATGGGCCAAATGCATGTCCTTCGAATGGACCATATGTCTGTTCTTCAAATGCACCAGCAATTGTGTGTCATAGTGTAGAAACTATGTATGTTGAAGGTTTTTAAAAGGTGAAATCGAAGCAAGCTATTTCAAAGGGAGCCATTGTCCAGTGAATCGAAGCACGCATAAAAGAAGTGACTGCTTTGTGGGTGCTAGCATGAAAGGAAGCCATTGCCTTGTGCATTGAAGGCAAGCACAGAGGAAGCCATTTCCTTGTGGGTCGAAAGCAAGCACAAAGGAGGCACTTGCCTTATGGATCAAAGCAGATATGTAAGAGGCCAATTCTCAATCGAAGCTTTGCGTGAAAGTATCCCTTGTCCAATCAAAGCTTCCATGCAGGAAGCCACTACTTTGTGAATAAAAAAACAAGCATGTAAGAGGTCAATTATCAATCAAAGCTTGCATGCAGGAGGCCACTGCTTTTTGAATCAAAACAAATCTGCAGGAGGCCATTGCTCAATCAAAGCTTGCATGCAGATATCCATTATCCAATCGAAGCTTGCATACAGGAGGCCATATGCCCAAATGAAGCTTGTGGACCAAAGCTTGCTCGAAGGGGACCGAATTCTCAATCGAAGCTTGTGGACCAAAGCTTGATCAAAGGGGACCAAATACCCAATCGAAGCTTGTGGACTAAAGCTTGATCGAAGGGGACCAAATACCCAATCGAATCATGTGGACTAAATCTTGATCTAAGGGGACCAAATACCCAATCGAAGCTTATGAATCAAAGCAAAGTTGCTCTTATTCGATTTGAGAGCTCAATGGAAACTTCTGCAGTCTTGACCTAGTAAAAATTTTGTGAAAAAATCTTGAGGAATGAGAGGGAAAATTTTCGGGTGCAACAGTGTCCATCAAAGATCACCATAAAGTTATGGCCGAGATCGGAAATAAGTTCAAACAAAAGTTCCGAGATAATGAGATCCTCAAAGCATCCAGAGTTGACATGGAGAAGAGGTACAAGGCCAAGGTTGAAGAGTTAGAGAAGAAGCTTCTAGCCAAAGGTGCCCAATTTGAAGAAAAAATACCTAGAGGCTCGTAATAGAGACTCAGCTCAAGGGGAGCAACATTCATCTGGCACAAGTTATAGAAGAGACTGCAAAGCTCAAGATTCAATTGAAAGACAACCCAAGGGACGAGGATTTTTAAGCTATCTGGAGTTAGATTCTTTTGTTGTTTTTCTCTTTTTTTGAAGATCACTACCAGGCTTGTTGATGGGATCTCTCTTTTGTTATTGTAATACTTTTGGTAGTGATGTTTGAACTACTTGTATTCCTTCATGTTCTAGTTTAATGAAGATTTGGCGTATTGATGTTCAATACCTTATCTCTTGCTCTTGACTAAAAAATCTTAAATCAAAGTTCCAGGGCCCTAGAAATATTTAAACATGTCATTGCATGCATTACATGCATCATGCATCCATATATCTCATGCATAACAGATTTTCTGGTCAGTCTTCTTATTTTGGTTATGCTATTATTTATCATATATTGCAAATGTGACATTTCGCCATTATCACACAAGGAGTAATCAACATCAACAAATGGAGAAAGTTCAAGATGATTTGGCAGCGATGAAGATTCAGATGGAGACACATATGACTCTGTTTATGGAAGTCATTACCAACATGATCGCGACCATCAGGAGTTAAGGGATCTTGTGGAAAGGCCTCGTAATGTAGAGGAACGTCACGAGAATATGTTTGAAGACATCTATGTGGGACAGTTATGTCCTGCTACTACTCTGAATGTCAGTGGATTGAATGTTAATGGTTACGATCGAAATAAGGGTTTACATGTCAATCATGGTCGTTTTCCACCACCACCACCACCATCTGAACCACATTTCACTTCTAGTGAGATTTTCAGAAGGAATCCTCAGTATCAGGATCTAGAAATGGGTCGTAACAAGGATATGTATTCTATGCATAACAACAGAGCAAGTTTTCCTATTGGAGATCAGAAGTACAATATACTAGAAGAGAGACTGAAGGCTGTTGAAGGATAGAGAATGTCGGGAATGGACATCACATATATGGGGCTGGTGCTAGGGGTGAGGGTTCCACCAAAGTTCAAAGTTCTAGTGTTTTACAAGTATAATGGTACTACATGTCGGAAGACACATGTAAAAGTTTAATACCATAAGATGTCAGTGCATTCTTAAGAAGAAAGGTTGCTCATGCATTTCTTCCAAGATAGCATGTCTGAGACATCATTGGAATGATATATGTATCTCGAGAGGAATTATATCAGAAGTTGGAGAGATATGGTTGAAGCATTTCTGAAACACTATCAGTATAATTTTGACATGGCACCGAACATAACTCAGCTACAAAATTTAACTCAGAAATGGCAAGAAATGTGACCTTTTAGGAGTATGCCTAGAAATGGCGTGAACTTGCTGCAAGGGTTCATCCTCCAATGATGGAAAAGGAGATGATTGATATGCTCACATGTACTCTTCAGGGACATTACTATGTGGCTTGCACTATATCTACCAGTTTCGCTGAGATGGTTATGTATGGAGAACGCATTGAGAGTGGTCTGAAGTCAGGAAATATTCAGAAACCTTGCAGATGGGAGAGAAAAGAAACCATACAGTGGTTATTATAGGAAGAAAGAAGGGGATATCAAAGTTTTTTATTCTCAAAGAGACCGTGGAAGATCCCAACAACAGGTAAATGTTGTAACTATACTTGTTGCTCAACCATAACAACAACAACAACACCCTCAATACTAGAGACATTAGAATGCTCCTCGGTAGCCTAGGTCTGAAAGGAAGTTTGACACAATTCCAATGTCATATTCTCAACTACTCCAGCGTTTTCTCGATCTCAAATTGGTTAGTCTGAGAATCATGCAGCCTCCTTCTGAGAGGCTCCCTGTGAATTATGATGCCAACGCCCCGTGCAAATTTTACTCTGGTGGTGTAGGTCACATCGTAGAAAATTGTATGGCGTTAAAGTACAAAGTACAAGATTTGTTGGACTCAAAAGCTATTCAGTTCACTCCAGACCAAGGTCCCAATATCCTTCAGAATGCATTGCCGACCCATGCAGGGGCAAATGTTAATGCTATCATGGAAGATGTGGAAAGTCTGAATTTGATTATTGTTGCACCCCAAACGTTTCCCTCCTAATTGTACTTTTATCTGACTTAGGATTAGCATTGCATTTACATCTTACCATTAGGTCATTTGCATAGCACGCATTTGCGTTCACAAAGTGTCTGAGATTCAAAAGATCAATGGTTTTCAAGCTAGGGCTTTCTTTTGATTTTGAGGTGTATATATCAAATAAACTCTGATTATTTTGGTTCTTCATGCAGTGAAATATGGAATTAGGATTGTGATCCATGACTGTCAGGATTTTCTTCTTCATTAAGGTACAAGGCCAATTTCTTCTTCTGAACATCAAATTGCAGGGCTTTATTTTCAAGAACTCAAGGGTGCAAACTGAAATAAATGTTTTTTGAATCAAAACACCTTTTTCTATGATTGTGCTTAACATTTGGTCAAGGTTTCTATCAATTACTGAGGTGTATTAAGATTTCATTCAAGGATCCCTCTTTCATCAATTTATGATGCATTTGTTGCTTAGGCTATAAGAGATTGTGAGCATTTGGTGCAAGTCATTTCTTTGGGAGTTCCTTCAAGATCTTTTGGTGTTGAATTAGGTGTGCAAAAGTTCATAATTGAGAATTCATAGAATTGCGGAAAGACATGTGAATTCCATTTGAATGTCATGATTGGATTAAGTAATTTTTGAAGAAGAATCTATTTGGAATACTCAGGGATTTTTGTTAAAGTTTCATTCGAAGTTCAAGATATATCCATAATATCGTACAAATTTCAAGCAACCTCATTACGTTTCATTACAATATTCATCAATTGTAACTAACTTTCTGCAGCCTCTAACCAACTATAAAAACCTTCTTCTCTAATCTTCATGATTCTTCAATTTTCAGAGAAGAATCACCAAAAGACAAACTGAAGCTTCTCTGCAAATTCTCTTGATTATCTGCTTCTTTCAGCTTCATCTATATTATCACCTTCTTCAATCTTCAAGAACCTCCTCTCCACAACCGATTCTTCCAACTGCTTCAATCTGCAAATCGCGTATTCATCATCATCATCACCATAAACGATTCCTCTGATGTTCATCACTGCTTCTCTTCACCTCATCATTGCAATTGCTTCATTGCTCTGAATCGCAAACAATGAAACACTTCATTAATTCGTAACTGAATCAATGCACAACACAAATTCATAACACAGTAGAAGAAGAAAATACAAAAACGGATCGCACCTGGAAACAACATCTCCAGTTTCTCTATTTCTCGTCGTCATCGTCACAGACGCGCCGGACGTTCTCTTGCAGGTAAGCTCTCGTAATCATCATTTTTCATCGATTCTCGCTGTTTATTCAGTCTTCGAGACACGAGGAGAACTAAAGTAGGTCGAAGAAGGTTGGGCCGATCTTGATTTTGTGAACTTAGCGGAGAGGTGGCGCTGAGAATTGACGGTGAAGAGATGAGATGAGACTGGACAGAGGTTGTTTGGATCGAGGTTGAGAGACGAAGAGGAGAAGTTCGGAGCAGTCGGAGAAGATAGCGTAGTCGTGGCGCCGTTGTATTGAGAGAAGAAGAGAATAAGAGCGGCGGAGAATGGAGAGAATCTGAATCGGAGAAGCTGAACAGGCGCATTGTGTTTACCCTAATACAAAATGCAGCGTTCCCCATTTATTTGATATTTTTTCAATTAATTTGTTTTCTTTTAGTAAAATAAATCGATGATTGAAACGCAATTGCTGAAAAAAGGCTGGATTGTTATGATGGACCGAACCACTAGCCTTAATCCCAATACACCATTTTTTTTTGTATTTGGAATTTCCTTGGAACAAAAGCTCCTTGTTGGACCTCACTGTTGAATGGGCTTAGCTCCTAATTTCTATTCATACAACTGAACCCATTTATACACCCCCCGCCTTTAGTAGTTTATGTTGATTGTTTTGAGTCAAATTTTCTTTTAATAGTTTTGGTAGATTTTGTTGATAAATATGCATGAATAAAAATAGTAGAATAATTTAGAATTCTTTAGGACTTCACTTTAGAATTTTAATTAGAATTTTCTTTTTTTTTCTTCATGTTTGGTAATCATCTTTGTTTCTATTTTTAGCCAAGATTTTTGTGATAGTATTAATGCAACTTTTGTGATGTGGAATGCTTGGTGATTAACTTGTTTATCACTTGCGCGAAGCAGCTTCTGTAGAGTTTTTTCTTTGCTTGTGTGACTTCGAAGAGGCAATGGACCTTTCTACGTTTGTTACTTTCACTCATTTATCTTAATTTCGCATTGTATTTCGATTTCTTAGCTATGATAAGTAGGAATAGAGATGCATGCCTGCAAGTTCCTACTTTGTGAGCAACCCTTTTCTTTAAGTAGTTTTGTATGATAGCAAATATGTGTGAAAAAGGTATTAATGAATGTTTAATGTGCCTAATCTATATGTGTGCATAATATGACAATAGTATAATATGTTCAAAAAGAGTAAAAAATGTGTTTTACACATAAAACACAATTTCATGTCGATACATAAGATCTTGCATCGACACATACTTAGTCAAAAAATGTGTTTTACACATAAAGTACAATTTCAGGTCGATACACAAGGTCTTGCATCGACACATACTTGAGCAAAGAATCACAAAAATAATTATGCTTCAGTATGAGTTGACCCATTTATACTTTGCATCGATACCTGTCAAGTTGATGCTCCTGGAAAATGTTTTAAAACCTTTATGCGTCAACACATAAACTCATGCATCAATACATATCACGTTTTACTTTCAAAATCAAAAATCAACTCAGTATGTATCGATACATACGTGTTATGTATCGACTCATATAAAATGAATGGTTCTGGATTCTTTATTGAAAACATGTTGTATCAACACATAAAGACTTGCATCGACTTATACATATTTGATCTCTTTGTAATATGTTTTTCCATCAGTATGTATCGATACATAACAGGTTGTATCGACTCATCTTATGTTTCACAACTAACATGTGTCGACTCATGTTAAACATGCATCGACTCATACTGCGTTTTTTCACCTCTAACTGTTTTTTATTACATATATAAGTAAGTTTTTACAGCAAAAACTAAAAGGTGACACATATACAGTTGGTGCGCATCAAACTTCTGAGCAATTAGAAACCTGAAAGATACTTCATCTTTATCATCTTCTCAATCATCTTAGTTCAACAACAACGAAAGATAAACATCTTTGTTCATTGGATCAAGAGATTATAGAGATAACGTTCAGTTGTACGATCGATGATCTAAGCTGAGTTGAAGATTCAGAAGGGGGTTTCAAAGAAAAACCAAAGGGTTTGTCCTTCAAGAATGGGCGTGTTCTTGTGGGTTTGTTAGTCACGGTTGCACAAGTCAGATTCAATCGTAGCGAGGGGTTTGGAAATCGAGACGATTTCGCAAACAGGTCGTGGAAGCGGAGGATTGATTGTGGATCTTGTAGAGAATCTTGATAAGCTCATATCAAGTGAAGGTTCTTACAAGAAGAAGAAGATCTTAGAGATTATGTTCTGTCTTTATATTGTAACCTTGTAAACAACTTTCAGCAAATTGATATAACATGTCTCAATTTCAATTTCAGAATTGGGAGGGAGACGTACCCACACGCAAGGACGACAGTGGGGAACTTCCTTACCAAACTGCCAGTGTATTGTTTTTCTTTGTCTCTTTCTCTTTACGTTTTCTGTAATTTTGTGATTCAATTAGTTTGCTGGTTTTTCTGTTTAATGATACAATAGTGGTACAAACTCTTTTCCTAAAACCACCATTATTGTTGATCATCGAACAAGCATACACAAATTGTTCGACAAAATTGTGTGCAAGTTTTTATTCATTGGAAATAACGTTCTTATGATAAGTGCATTGAAACATACATCAATTTGTGTTTAATTTTTCATCTATTTCATCTTAATAAAATCCAACAAGTTTATCGTATGCCCGATTTTCTAGTAGTTGGTTTAAAATAGACGAAAGTCGATTCGGGACCGTGTTTTTCCATTATTTTTAATAAACTTTGATAAAATATTTTAAATCCTTGATAAATAAGGAGGTGATCTATTCACCCCCCCCCCCCCCCCCTCTCGATCACTTGCCACACCGTCTAACAAGTGGTATCAGAGCGTCGGTTCGCTGGTGCTTTGTGTCTACTAGTAACGCTATGGCTTTTGAACCAAAAGGGGCGTATAATAGAGCTCTTGTTTCAATGGTGAAAACTATGGCTACTGGAAAAGACTGCATGCGAGTACACATAAATTCCATTGACATGAATGTATGGACTGCCTTTCAAAATGGTCCTTTTCAAATTACCATGAGGAATGATGCAGGTGCAATAGTACCTAACCCTGAGTGTGATACGGTGGGAGAACTGACTTGGGTGTTTTGCGTTTTATCGCAAATGTTGCGGTTAGCAAGAGTCGTCGCCGACTTTTCTTTTATCCAAAAGGAAAGGCTGAAAAGAATAGGAAAGACCTTTGAGATTATTTCTGAGTTCGGGGGGTAGATTATGAAAACGGAAGGTATTAGAACCCTTTTCATCCATAGTTATCTATGGGATCTTAGTTGCTTGCTAGATCACGTGATTTGTTTGAAAAATGTGCTTTGTGTGGTTTTTGAAAGTATTTTGAAAAGGCGCCTTCGTTTAGGAAAACTTTGTAATAGTTCTCGTTCGTAAGAACGTATACAAAGTGTTGAGCTTTTGAAAATGTTTCATATGAAAGTGTTGGTGTATAAAATGTTTTTGTTGTGAGCAAGCAAGCAACTAGGAGCAATCTATCTACTCAAAAGGTCTTAGATGTTCTTTTCCTCCTCCTTTAGATGTTGCTATCTTACCATTGTTTTGGTAAGAATCCCCATCGTTGGATGTGAAGGGACGGGCGTGGGACGTTTGTATAGTCATAGAAGGCAACCTATGGGACGTTTTAGCAATGTTGTTTAGGGACTAGATCGTTTACCGAAGGCAACATCGAGGGTCATCGAGGGACTGTGATCTTTTATCGAGGGTCTTTGCTAAAACACCCATGTTCGAGGGACATGACTGTTTTTGTGATGCAACAAGTGAGATTGCCCTAAGGGTGCATGTGTGCAAGGTGTGTTTGATTTGCATGCATTTTGTCTTGATTAGGGATTGTCTACTTATTGGTTTTATCTTACCATACACACCTAATTACTAACATTTGTACAAAAGTAATAAAAAATGCAGAAAATAAATCCTACACTATTACAATCATATTGAAGTGCATAAGAATATAAAGGCAAAAATAAGATAAAAAGAAGAAAAATGAGCTCCTTCGATTAGGGGGGAAGCAGCCTTCAATTCTGCTTCTGTTGGCCTCCTTCGATTGGGAGTTGGCACCAGCAAGTCATGGCCTTCGATTGGGCCTCGGCAGTAGCTTGTCATGGCCTTCGATTGGGCTTGTCAGCAGCTGGGTGTGCCTTCTGGTTCTGCCTTGTTGCCTTGCTACCTTCTTCGATTGGGACTGGAATCAGTAAGTCATGGCCTTCGATTCTGGCTGGACTTAGTGCAAATGTACCTTCTGATTCTGCCTTTCTTCCTTGGAAGTCAGCATGGAAGCTCAAGGCTTCGTTTCATGTCTTTTTTCCCCTGTCCCTTTCGTTTGGAACATAAAATGGCAACATAGCCTAAGGCCATGCTAGTATTTGTCTTATGACCAAACTAATTATTAAAGTATATTTAATGAATTCAAGCAACAAGAAACAAAAATATTATCCATAAAAATAGATTCAAAGGGTGTAAACGAAAGGGAGGAAAATATTATATACATGCTATGTCTAAACTAAAGATGCAAGGGTAAGAGTAACTTACCTTGCTGCAGTCTTGAAGATGAACTGGGCCTTGAGTGGTGGCTCTGAATTCGAAGGGAGGGGCTAGCAGCTGGGCTTTGAATGCTGGAATCGAAGGAGAGGAGAAAACGTGATGCTCCTTGAGAATCGAAGGAAACTGAAGTGTGGTTGTTCTTCAGAATCGAAGGAGGTGATAATGATTCTGGATTTTTGATTTCACAAGTGTTGAAGGGACTTGAGAGATTTGTGTGTTTGAGAAGATTCTTGAGGTTTTGTTCCTCTAGTCAAAAAAATCCTCTCTAGCCTTTGCAAAGAATTCCTCTATTTATAGAGAAAGAACATATATGTTGTCCAAAGCCAGCCTTGCAAAGAAATAATAAAAATATGTAACGTGAGAGTACAAGTGAGGGGCCTTTTGGAAGTTGGGGTGCAGAAGATGTGACTTATGCTTCTGGCCTTGCTTGTGCTCAGACCAAAATCAGGTTGAAAGCTGATTTTATGACTAAGGTACCTTTTATGAAGAAAGGGTACACAGTCCTTTGCCAATTTATCCAAGAATGGTATTATCCTTCGAATAAACCTTTGAACCCTTAGGAAATGTATCACAAACTTGTGTAAACTTCTGGTTATGTGAAGATTTGAAAGTAACATAGCCTGACAAGTAGGGTAAGGTTATGATATTTCCTCAGATTTACTTCAAACCAACTTTGCTTCGAATGGCCCAGACTGGATTCGAAGCATGTTGATTCGAAGGGAATCAGAACTTAAAATGAAGCTTTGTAGGTAGATACTTTTTGTTCAATCGAA